TACTCTTTGCAATATAAAGACATAGTCATACCAATTGTGATTAGAGTTCGCATAATCTTGGCCTTTTTCAATCCTCGTTTCGAGATATAATCCCGGGGACGACCATCGATCCCAGGATCGAGCAACTTTTGATTTTTGTTGCTCACTTCGACAATGAATTCTCACTATGAGTGAACTCAGTGAGAATTTATGTACATTTCGATCGGATGAAAATGATTCCAAATAGCGAAATAAAGAGACTTGCAGTCTCTAGAACATGCAGTTCAATTAACCGATGGAATATTGAAGCCGAACAAATCGCGTGGAAGGAAACACCTCGAAATTTCATTGAATTTTGTTGCTCTTGGTTCTCATTAGAAAGTGTGATTATCTTTGTTAGTCCACATAGAAATGCATCTAGATGAGTGTGACATGAACTAATGAGGAGCAGAACAATCAGTTGAATATTCAATGAAATGTTACGCGAAAGTTCATCAGGTAGTCCCTCATCATGCCTTTTGTCTGACTTGCATGTATTTCCTTGATCATTCGTCAATGATAAATGGCAAACACCAAAGATGACTTCATATGAGTGAGCTGGGAATGTCTAAGGCTGGCTTTCACATGGGCATGCTGTCAAAGTTCGTGCAAATTGACCTACTTTATCAAATCCCGTTATCCCGGGATTTTTCAAAACTTAAATCTCGGGATCAGAACCGAAATCACGAGATCCCTGGATCCCGTGCAAACACTAGTTGTGATGGAATCCTCGAACTAAAGTTCAGTAATTGAGACGAGGAACTGCGTTCTCTAGTTGAAAACTAAATTTTTTACATTAGTACGTTGACTGATATGTCAAGACCACCAACAAAACGTTTTTGAGCAAAAAGCTGAATTCATAACTTACAGAATTGCATGATTGAACTACTGGTGCCGACTGAATTAAATTCGTTGTGCCTTTTATTCGTCTTGTGATTTTTTGAACGGCATTATTTATTTAGAGAAATGAAAAATTCAGATTGTGCTTAATTCGCGAGCAGGTGGAGCCTGGGGATTTGAAGAGCGTGCAGAGGTGTTCCCATTCAAGAACAACACTCTCTTCGATCTTATGTTTCTGAATACACCTGATTCTATCCAGGTTTATTCGTTTTCGCTCCTCGAATTGCATTCACAATTTCTAAATTGAACGATAATTATTCATAACAACGTCATTAGCTCCGGCAATTTCTGACGGTTCTTCCTGCAATAAATCATTCGATTCGACTATCTGATGAGGAAGGAATATGAACGTGGAATATTAATTATAACAGGTATTCTACGATGGGGAACGTATTTACACATTCAAGCATCGAACGCGCAACCCAAAGATGGATTACCATTCACTCGTTGTATCTGGCGATCTCGAGGTAGAATCGATCGAATTTGACGTTTGATCTTTTCCGATCGCAATCGAATTTAACATAATGTAGTCATTACTGCCATTCCCGATCATTTGATTCCATTAATTCTGTACCAGTTTATGTTTGTTCTGTATACAGTAAATCCAAGCTCAGCATATATTCTTTCAAATTTTCCTTTTGAGTTTGAGTTTCACTGGAATAAATGTTTCTCATGACAGTGCTTATTTATTTTGTTGGCTTGAAATAAGTGAACAAGTTAGATTGCAATGATAATGGAATAGCGAATATACTTTAGATGTTGAATTACTTTCAGTTTACTTTCAGATCTTAATTCACAGTGATGAGTTGAAGTTTCAAGCATACGGTTGAGTCTTTCAAAAGGTTTTGATCCTCTTAGGTATCTGTTGAAGACGCTAGGAAATATATAAATACAAACTAAAAAAATAAAAGTAGTAAAAAAAAACAAAACAAATAAAGCTGGGTAAATGAATGAATCGACGAAACTGAACTTATTTCACGCCCATGCTAATACACTCACAATCGCAAACTTCCGTACGCATTGAAAATGCCACACACATCTCACCGACCAATCAGCGTGTGGGAGCGCTTTCCTCAAGTTTACTGTAAGCGCCCCTCATCCTCCCCTCCGACCAATCAGCTTCTGGGAGCGCTTTTCCCAAGAGTGCTGTAAGCGTACCGTATCCTTCAGTCGGACGCCAAAATAGTAACGCCAATGCTGATACACCATCAGTTGAAAGCATTTGTAGAAGCAGTAGGGGTTTTGTTTTCAGCGAGAAAATATTTTTGTCTGAAGTTACGGCTGAAAATGCGCTTTCGGCAAAAAATCTTCAATAGGGAATTTCAACACGTACGGCTCAAAAAGAGCATACGGCTCAAAAAGAATTTGAATGAAGAAATATCAACAGCAATTCTCTCATTTTCATACCATTCGACAGTTGCATCCATCACAAGAAATTTACATGCTATGCAGATTGTCAATTTACATATCGATAACACCATGAATTAGCATATAAATTTTCTATATAAGAGAGTTGAAATCAAACTGGAAGCATTGCAGTTACCCCAGCAGTATCTGGGTTGTAGAATGTTGGTGTTTTCGCAGTTTTGTAGCAAAATGGTCGTGCTACTTGTTATGATTTTGTGCTTCACTGTTATCACCAGTGATGCTTACATCAGTTTCATGAATCTGCCGAGCGTCGGTTTGGTAAACCAATTTG